ATCTGCCCTATGTTTAGACAGACCAATAAAAATTTTGGATTCCCGACTAGAATGCCACAGACATCACAACAACCTGGTGGAAAGATCACTGGTCTACAGGTCAGACACCAGCTCCATCACTAGACAGTGTAAGACCTTGAGCAGAGTATTAGTTTGTGCCTCCATTTTCACATCTATAAACTGAAAATCTGTAGAGGGGCTTCACTGGTGGCTCAGTGGCAAAGAATTCAAGTTCCCAGTGCAGGGAGCCCAGGTTTGATTCTTTGTCAGAGAACTAGATGCCACATGCTGCAACTAAGAGTCAGCATAGCCAAATAAAAAAAGAAACAGACATTTCTGTGTATCCAATGAGAAAATTCAAAATATTGAATGTTTTCTATCTATAAGACACCTGGTCCTAAACAACCTCCCCACCTGTGACACTGAGACAACTTGTACAAAAGTGAACTGTATGGTCCTTAGCAGAAATTCAGCTACAGAAGCAATTGATCTGCAGTGCTGATTGGTGGAGTAAACAGAGCAAGGAACCTGGGCCAGAAGCCCTGACTTGACTCTGCCTCTAACTCGCCGCAGGACTCTGAAGAACTCATTCAAGCTCTCTGGCCCCCGTGTCCTCAATTTGTCATGAGCAGAGTGGCCGATGATCACCTAGATCCAAAAGTATGTAAATAAAATATCCTCTAACGGAGGCCTTTGCACAAACATTAAGAACAATGAACTTACCACAGTGTACAAGGCCCTGCACAAGTGGCGTCTCTGTACTCACTTCACTCCGGCTGTGCCAATATTCTTTCTTCAGTCACACACACACACATACACACACACACACACACACACACACACACCAGGATCTGTGCCCTGTGTCCTCACACACACTCTCTCACATATGTCCCCACCCCCACAGGCACTCACACTCACACCTGCACACATGCCCACTCCCCACTAGGTTTTCTCAGGTTGGCTTTAATGTTGGCTGTTCACCCTCTCAGAGTCAGACCCTCTCTTAGTATTCTCCACTTCAGAACCCAGTTTTGTTTCTTTATGACACAATTTAAAATCATTTCATATGTTTATAAATTTCTTTCTTAGTAGACGCTATGCTCCATAAGGCAAAGATTAAATGTTTATTCACTTTTATGTCTTATCTCCAGCATTTAGCACTGTGTCTGGCACCTCAGAGGTGTTCAATAATTAATATGATTCCAGGCCTTGTCCCCAACAGCTGATTCACTTCTCTATGACCATAGAAAGAGGACAGCAAATTCAAATACAAATGCATATAATAGCATGCATTGCTCTTTTGGAAAATATTAATTCATTGAGTTATGTAGATTTTCCAAATTCTGACACATTCATTGCAAAATATTTTTTAAAATACATTTATTAATATCACTACCATCTAATTGGGAAAGTCCTTAAGTGTTGGGAAGATGTCAAGCTTGTAAGAACAGATACAAGTGTTTCCAAAATTCTAATTTTATGGTTAGCAACAAACATTGTTAGTTGTTTTCTCTAAAGTGACAGGCTCACTTCATTCATATTTGAGAAAGTGTCATTAAATACCAAAGTCTGAATAATCATATTTTGTCTGTCAGAATTCTTTTTTTCTTAATTAATTTTACTGCAGTATAGTTGATTTACAACATTGTGTTAGCTTCCTGTTTAGTCGCTCAGTCATATCTGACTCTTTGCGACCCCATGGACTGCAGCACGCCAGACTTCCCTGTCCTTCACTATCTCCCAGAGTTTGCGCACACTCATGTCCATTAAGTCAGTAATGCCATCCAACCAACTCATCNTTTTTTCTTAATTAATTTTACTGCAGTATAGTTGATTTACAACGTTGTGTTAGCTTCCTGTTTAGTCGCTCAGTCATATCTGACTCTTTGCGACCCCATGGACTGCAGCACGCCAGACTTCCCTGTCCTTCACTATCTCCCAGAGTTTGCGCACACTCATGTCCATTAAGTCAGTAATGCCATCCAACCAACTCATCCTCTGTCGCTGCTAATGCATAGCAAAAATGAATCAGCATTCTTTCAAATAAAAATAGTATTCCATGAAAGAGAGAGATCAATTAGCAACTCAAACAATTACACTAGTGCTTTTCCTCAAAGCAACCACTGTACTTTAATGTGCAACCAGCATGTTTCAGACATACATTGCACACTTCCCACATCACAGAGAATATTAAGAAGGCATTTACTACAGGGTAAAAATGTGTTAATTTTTTTTTAAATTTGTCTGTTTCTGCTGTCTCATCAAAGACATTCTTCATTGAAACTGATTTTCTCTTCTGAGAGTGTCTGACAATGAAGAATACAGTGACTATTAGTACAGTCTGGTGCTACTGCATTGATTTGTGCTAAGACATCAGCAGTTTTCCCCATCATTGCCTTTATGACATTAGTGAAAATGTTAACACACAGGTATAGAAACAAGCAACACCTTAGCCCTTATTATGAAAATTAATTTAATCTCACAGACCCCTGAAAAGTTTTCAGGAACACCCAGGAGTCCACCAACCACACTTTGAGAATTCCTGGCTTACAACATTGCAAAGGCTCACTCACAACTGGAACAAATTAAACATTTTTCCAAGAGTATGAATAGGTAGCCTTAATTTACAATTTTTTAAATTTATACTTATGGGACTCCCCTGGGGGCACATGAAAAGAAACTCAACATTAGTCATTAGTCATTACAGAAATGCAAGTCAAGACCACAATTAGAAACTTCTTCACACTCACTAGAATAGCAATTGTAAAGAAATAATACTAATAGCAAATATTGACAATAGTTTAGAAACTTGGAATCTTCATACATTGTTAATGCAATATAAAATGATTCAGCCATTTTAAAAAATAGAAGTTCTTCAAGATGCTAAACATAGCTAAAATATGACATAGTCATCCCACTCAGGTTTATGCCCGCCCCCAAAATGAAAACATATGTCCATACAAAAACTTGTACATAAATGCTCACAGCAGCATTATTCATAATAGGTAAAAAGTAGAAACAACAAAAAGTATATAAGCTGCTGAATTGGCAAATAAAATATATTTCCATGTGATGGAATATTATTTGACAATAAAAAGGAATAAAAAGCATCATGCTAAGTGAAAGAAGTCAATCACAGAAGACCACATATTGTGCGTTTCCATTTATATGAAATGTGCAAAATAGGCAAGTCTAAGAAGCCAGATATTAGATTAGAGGTTGTCTAGGGCAGGGAAGTCAGGGAAAGGAGGGTAATGCAGAGTGACTGCTAACGGCTATGAGACTTCCTTGGGGAATGATAAGTGTTCTAGAATCAGATTACGGTGATGGTTGCACAACTCAAAACAGCTTAAAAGCCAGTGAATGATGCACTTCAAATGAGTGAACTTGATAGTATATAAATTATATCTCAAAAGCTGTTAAAAATCATCATGAGATATTTCCGTGGTGGTCCAGTGCTTAGGAGCCCCCCCTGCCAGTGCAGGGGGCACGGGTTCCTCCCTGGTCTGGGAAGATCCCACATGCCACTGGATAACTAAGCCCGTGCCCCACAGCTCCTGAGCCTTCACTGTAGGGCCTGTACTCCACACCAAGAGAAGCCACTGCAAAGAGAAGCTCCTGCACCACAGAGGAGCTCACTGCAACTAGAGAAAGCCCACGCACAGCTAGAAAGCCCTAGCACAGTCAAAAATAAATTAAATAAATATCTTTTAAACATTACCATGTGTTGAGGGAGGGTAAGCATATTCACATAAAAAGAAACAGAACTATCAATGTTTCCTTTAGGAAATTTTCAGTAGCTATAGCCAATTAAAATTTGACTTTTTAAAAAGTCCACATTAAAATTATTCACCAAAGCCAGAAGCAGAGTATCCCACTATTTTACTGAAAATGATTCATCTCTGATGCACCAGTGATAGCTGAGAAAAGGAAACACAGGGGTCTCAGTGGGGTTTCCTTCCAAGGTCATGTGATTTCTGAAAAAGCAAGCTCTGAATTTGAAAGCCTCAGGGTGTTAACGTTGGGGATGGCTGGTTAACAGCAAACACCCTGATCGAACACATTACTATTTATGTAGTATAATAAAGACCACATCCTCAGCTCAGAAAAAGAGCTGATGACATTTCTAATAGAAAGCATACCCAATACTGTTCCTTCAGAGACTGAGAATGATCCTTCTTAGAGATAAGTTGTTCTCCAATATTGGAACAAAATAGCAATGTCTGACTCTCATTTTCCTTTCTTAGCTAAATCCAGAAAGAAGGAAAGGAGGAAAGAAAGGAAGGAGGGAGAAAGGAAGGGAAGGAGGGAGGGAGGAGAAATTCAGATACTTTCACATGTCTAAAGTTGTAAAATCAAACCATCAGGGGAAGCACAATCAGAGGCTGGCCTGGAAAGAACCAGTGCTCCCTAACCCCACCAGACTCTGTCCCCACCTGCCAGATTCCAGATAGGGGCACAACAAATTACCTCCATAAAGTGGAGAAGGAAAATCCAGGCAGGAGCTTATGAACAAATAAGATTCCCTCCTACATTTCCATGTGTCCTTGGCTGATTCATTCTTGCAAAATTCTAGGCGATGACTAAAAAGACATTTGGCTAGTGACCAATTTTTAGGCAACCAATTTTAAATCTCTGATTAAAGTCTATAAAGGGCTTTCATTTATGCTAGGTAATGGATAGAGAAGATAATGTTGCTGATGATGAAAACTAGAATGCTCAAAACCTCAGCTGAAACATTTGAGGTCTCTTGTATACTATCTTCTGATGGCAACAAGGTCCCATAGTCCCCGCCGGCCATGGATTTACAACCCTCTCCCGGCAGAGGTCCTCGCCGAGGGGGGCACACCCATTGGTGAGGAGTGGTTACTCACCGTTCTCACTTGTGGGGTTTCTTTCCCTAATGCCTAACTTTGAAATTGGAAAGAAAGAAAAGAAAGGAAACCACATCCTTTTTACTGTCAGTATATAAATAAGAGCTAGTCAAGAACTGAAAACAGATTTCACATTGATTGATGTGGGGACACCAGCCACAATGAGGAACTCCTCTACCTTTCTGACAGCCACTCTCTCGATTGTCGTTTTTCTCCTAATTCCTGAAGGTAAGACTGATCCTTGTAATTTCCACTATAATAAATTAAGTAAAATGGAGTAAACTTTTTGGCAATATTAATTAAGTGTTCTAAGAGGAGACATTTTTTCTGCAAGTCTTAACATTCTTCCTTGGATTCTACATTTATCTTTTTTTAAAATTTTTATTCATTCATTTACTTGGTTGCACTGGATCTTGGTTGCGACATGTGGGATCTTAGTTCCCAGACCAGGGATTGAACCCGTGCCGTTGCATTGGGAGCACAGAATCTTAACCACTGGGGCACCTGGGCAGTCCCTCCACAGATATCTTTATTTTAGAAGGAAAAATCCTTCTTTCTTCTTTACAATTCCTTTATTAAAAGATAATGGAACCACCAGTGCTGCCAATTTGTGGCTTGAAAATTGCCCAAAAGGACACTGTAAAAACAAGTAATCAAACAGACATAAAGCTCTTAAATTAGGAAAACAAATAGCACCTTTCAGGAAAGGAATAGTGACACCTCAGCTTTTCTTGCTGCAGAAAATGCATAGATAGTTTTAACAACAAAATCAACTGTACTTCAATAATCCATCAGTCTTAAAAAAAAAAAAAACCTGACCTAGATGTACCCCCCAAGTCAAAATGATTCAAATATTCATCATTTTTTCTCTAGGCTAGTATGTCCTTGGGAATACATTAGGACACTGGGAGCTCTTTGGCAGTGCTATAGTGTTTTGTATTAAGTATATTCTTTGATGCACTAAGTAGTAACCAACTAGCCTGATTTTATGTGAGCTGCACAGGCATTAGTTTAAAATGCTGTAAAAGTCATGGGATTCTCTCTAGAAGGGTAATAGGGCATAGCCCTGGGTACAATAGCCCTGAGTAGCTCTAGATATTCCTTAAACTCTTTCTAGGCACTAATAACGACTCTGGGGCTAGGCCGAACTGTGCCAACAAGTGTAGAGCTTGGGTTTTCTCCATGGTCTGGCAGTTTTTGGAGGTAGAAATGGTGGACAAGGGCTGATGCAACCTATCTTACCAAAAATTCCCGAGGAAGATCTCTGGTTTATCTTGCACCTAAAAATAAGGAGAAATTTTAGAAATAATAAGGTTGCAGGACATTAGAAACAGAAGAATGGACAGAGTACTATTAATATAAGCATGGGCTTCCCTTGCAGCTAGGACGCTAAAGAATCTGCCTGCAGTGCAAGAGACCTGGGTTCGCTCCCTGGGTTGGGAAGATCCCTTGGAGGAGGGCATGACAACCCACACCAATATTCTTGCCTGAAGAATCCCCATGGACAGAGGAGCCTGGCAGGCTACAGACCATGGGGTCACAAAGAGTTGGACACGACTGAGCGACTAAGAAGCAGCAAAATATAAGCATGTTCCAACAACTATGTTAGAGCATGTTATTGTTGTTGTTTAGTCACTAAGTCATGTATAACTCTTTTGTGAACCCAAGGATTATCGCCCACCAGGCTCCTCTGTCCATGGGATTTCCCAGGCAAGGATATTGGAGTGGGATGCCATTTTCTTCTCCAGGGGATCTTCCCGACCCAGGAACGAATCCATGTCTCCTGCATGCAGGCAGATGGACTGAACCACTGGGGAAGCCCATGTCCTATGAAACACTGAAACCAAGCAGATTAAAAAGAAATCCAATCATATCTTTTCTTCAAAGGAAACAGCAAACGCAAATTACTCTGTTTCCTTCAGTCAGACAGAGTAGTATGGGTCCCCAAATGGAACAGACACAGCAAAGCAAGATTTGATCCTCTAGACAGGTTGTCTCAATCTTTCTACACATTAGAATCCTCTGGAGGCTTTGAAACAATACTGACATCTCAGCCCTGGTCCTATTTGATTTTAATTTATTTTGATTCTAGGTGGGAACCAAGAATTGCTAGTTTTTAAAGCTTTTCACCTGTTCTAATTCCTCTTCCCAAATCCTAGTTTGTGGGAGATAGGGACTTTTTTCTGTGCTCACCAATCACAGGACTCTGCAAAATGAAGTATTGTACTGAGTTTACAATTTCTACAGCTCAGACAGTTCAAAGATGCATCTTTGGAATCCATCTCTTCACGATATCCATCACGAAAACTGAGATGTAGGTGAAGTTCTATTTGTTTCTCTAAGTTCCTCATCCTTTTACTTCTAGAGCCTAGGATTTCCCCTTCCCAACTCCCTTCTGGAAATGAGAGCCCTTCTGGACACCCATTTTCCCTATCCCACTCATCATTTACATCTCATTGTAAATCTGGCAATGAGTTGGCTTTAATAAAAGAGCAACAGGCACTGTGCCCTATTGAGAGAAACATGAGTCCTAGTCAATGGTCAGGAGCAATGCTTGAGAAGAATCCAAGAACATCTGGTGCAGGAACGTGGCGCTGAGAGTATATCAAGAGGGCACAACATCCTTTCAACCAACAGGGATGGTCTGCCTTCTGCTTCCATCTCAGTTTGGTTCAGTTCAGTTCCGTTCAGTCACTCAGTCATGTCCGACTCTTCGCGACCCCATGAACTGCAGCATGCCAGGCCTCCCTGTCCACCACCAACTGCCAGAATCTACCCAAACCCATGTCCATTGAGTTGGTGATACCATCCAACCATCTCATCTTCTGTTGTCACCTTTTCCTCCTGCCCTCAATCTTTCCCAGCATCAGGGTCTTTTCAAATGAGTCAGCTCTTCACATCAGGTGGCCAAAGTACTGGAGTTTCAGCTTCAGCATCAGTCCTTCCAGTGAACACCCAGGATTGATCTCCTTTAGTATGGACTGGTCGGATCTCCCTGCAGTCCAAGGAATTCTCAAGAGTCTTCTCCAACACCACAGTTCAAAAGCATCAATTCTTTGGCACTCAGCTTTCTTTACAGTCCAACTCTTACATCCATACATGACCACTGGAAAAACCATAGCCTTGACTAGACAGACGCTTGCTGACAAAGTAATGTCTCTGCTCTTTAATATGCTGTCTAGGTTGGTCATAACTTTCCTTCCAAGCAGTAAGAGTCTTTTAATTTCATGGCTGCAATCACCATCTGCAGTGATTTTGGGCTTCCATCTCACTCTTCCCTAATAATAAGTCTCTACTCTTGGTCTATCACCAAGGAAATTTGGCTAAGGCAGAATTCTCTCCTTATAGCATTTTCTCACTTCTCTTCATTAGAAAAGGGCTTAAATTAAACCAAGTGGTTCAGTCTGGAGATTGAGGAAGAGTTTCAGGTGCAAAAGATAGTCTCTCAGTTTATGAAGGCTGCTGCTGCTAAGTCACGTCAGTCGTGTCCGACTCTGTGCAACCCCACAGATGGCAACCCACCAGGCTCCCATCCCTGGGATTCTCCAGGCAAGAATACTGAATGAGAAGTGTGCAAATTTCAATAAGCAAAAGACTCATGATGACCAAAAAACTCATGGGTAGGGTTACAGCTAAAAGGTGTTAATGCCAGTTTGTAAGCTGTGGTGTTTTGCAAGAGCTCAGAGTGAAAAGGGCGGTTTTCAAGCTTGTAAAAGCAACTCTGCTTCCCCCAGATTAATACTTAGCCAGAAAAGGGGAGGGATGGGCAGACACCAGCAGTTCCTGTAGCACCAGTTACTGGTATAAACTCATGCACAGTTGTCTGAACTTAGCAAGTCCTGAGGGCTGAGGCCAGTGGTTGTGACATATTTCCAGCCTGATAATCCCTGGATCTGCCAATGGCATGGCTTCCGTGGGTGAAAGAGCGAAACCTCTCAGATTCCAACAGGAGTGGGATTTACATTCAGGTATCTGATCTGGGCTTTGCTGGTGGCTCCATGGTAAAGAATCCACCTGCAATGTAGGAGCTGTCGGAGACACGAGTTCGATCCCTGGGTCGAGGATACCCTGGAGGAAGGCATGGCAACCCACTCCAGTATTCTTGCTTGGAGAATCCCGTGGACAAAAGAGCCTGGCAGGCTACAGTCCATAGGGTTGAAAAGAGTCAAACACGACTGAAGAGACTTAGCATGCATGCCCACATCTGAAATTGACATGAAGGGGGGTGGAGTATGCTCTCATCCCTCCTTCTCTCTATGTGGGAAAAGCATGTCTAGCCTTGCTGCTGCTGCTAAGTCACTTCAGTCGTATCCGACTCTGTGCAACCCCATAGATAGCAGCTCACCAGGCTCCTCTGTTCCTGGGATTCTCCAGACAAGAATACTGGAGTGGGTTGCCATTTCCTTCTCCAATGCATGTATGCATGCTAACTCACTTCCATCGTGTCTGACTCTGTGCGACCCCATGGACAGCAGCCCACCAGGCTCCTCTGTCCACCGGATTCTCCAGGCAAGAATACTGGAGTGCGTTGTCATTTCCTTCTCCTTGTCTATGCTGCTGCTGCTGCTAAGTCGTTTCAGTCGTGTCCAACTCTGTGCGACCCCATAGACGGCAGCCCACCAGGCTCCTCCGTCCCTGGGATTCTCCAGGCAAGAACACTTAGAAACGTGATTATAAGTAGAGCTCTTTAGGGTGGTCACTGATATGACTTGTCTTTGTCTTTTGAATAGATCTCTGTGAAAAAATTATTGGAGGAAATGAAGTGACTCCTCATTCAAGACCCTACATGGTGCTACTTAAGGGGGAAAATACCTGTGCTGGAGCTTTGATTGCCAAAGACTGGGTATTGACTGCAGCTCACTGTGACCTGTATGTTCTTGGGTTTTAAAAAAAAAAAATTGTGGAGATAGCCTAACTTGGGGGAATATTAACAAAGAGAGTAAATATCATTAAAGCCACAGGATCTTCACATCATTTACATCTTTGGCAGCTTGCTTTACCTGCAAAAGGGAGTTGAGGCCAGACTCATCCCCAGAGAATCAGACCAGTGAGGAAGCAGCATCCAGAGCACTTTTGGAAGATCTCCTCTGGAGCCACCAGGCTCAAGGGCTGCAAGTCTTGGCTTCTGGTCTTGACCTCATGATGGTGCAGAAGGGAAAAAAACTTCAGTGTCCCCTCAGGGACCTGAGCACCACTGTCAAGTATAGAAGGCTTCTTTTGAAAACCTTCCTGTTTTCTTAAAACTTCTCACACCTTCAGCCATTTCATAACCACGGTCAACCATGGCCTTCAAACCACTTTCAGGGCTGGTCTTTTCTTTGCCCCTAAATCAAGCCTTTAAACTTGGGCTGTCCATTATGATAGCCACTATCATGATGGTTATGTGAGTTATCTATAGTTATATACATTTTCATTCATTAAAATTAAGTCAAATGACAAATTTAGATCCTCAGTCTCACTGGCCACATTTCAAGTCCTCAGTAGCCTACATGGGGCTCCATATTGGACAGTGCGGACTTATAGAATATCTCATCATCAAAGTATACTCTACTGAAAGCGCTGTTCTAAGGTCTAAGTGAGACTGGTATCAGCTGTGTAATGGAAAAACAGCAGTGTGAATATATTGTTGGTGTAGTCTGTGCTAAGTTATGAATGATAATGGCCTTCATCATTAATACATCAGAGAGTATCTTGATTTTATTAATCAAAATGAATCTTCAGCATGGAGTAAGAAAAAGAAGATCTGAAAGGGCCCCCCTTTAGACCACCTTTCCCTCAAATACACACACTCAGTGCCATGCACATAGGGTCTTCCATTAAGCAATCTATTTCTGAAAGTTTGCCCATTTAAGATAAGTTTGTTGTCCTCTTACAAAGATTTCTTCAGTGCATTAGTTCTACAACTATCGAGTGTCTTTTGCTTTTGTTGTTAGACCACTGAGATTTCTGTTTTCCAGTTATCTGCAGCCGGATTCTCTATTACAACTAAAGGAAGGTTGAGGGGACAGCAGTATAACTCCACCAAAGATCCCAAGACTTAGCTTAGCTACCATGGAATTCTCTGTTTTTAATATTTGCTACATATTTAATTTTTGGCTGTGCTGGGTCTCCGTTGCTGCGAGCAGACTTTCTCTAGTTGCGGCAAGCAGGAGCTGCTCTCTAGCTGCCGTGTGTGGGCTTCTCCCTGCAATGGCTTCTCTTGCTGTGGAGCACAGGCTCTAGGGCCCAAGGACTTCCGTAGTCATGGTGCGCTGGCCTAGCTGCCCCACGGCATGTGGAATCCTCCCAGACCAGGGGTGCAATCCGCGTGCACTGCACTGGCAGGCGGGCTCCAACCACTGGACCAGCGAGGAAGTCCCCCATGGAATTCTCTTATCATTTGATTTTCAATGAACCTAGTTTAGCTTGTTATAAATAAGCTGCAGGCCAGCATGATGATAATGATAATGATAAATTCATAAACAATTCACTTTTATTCTTTAAAGTACACATTTTTTTTCTGAGTCACAAAGAGGCATTTCCACAGCAAGCACATTTATAGATGGGACAGTGAAACTGATCAGCCCATAATATGCTTAGTTCCTGATTTAAAGAGTAAACCAAATTAACAGTATTGTGTCTGTTTTCAGGAACCGGAAAACCCAGATCATTCTTGGGGCTCACTCAATAACCAAGAAAGAGCCTGAAAAACAGACCAGGTTCATTAAGAAAGAGTTTCCCTATCCGTGCTATGACCAGGACACACGTGAAGGCGATCTTAAGCTTCTAAAGGTACAAACCTTTGATTATACTTTTGACTGATTCAAAAGTCATAGAAGCTCCTACAGTCTGGCTTCTGATGTAGAAATCTTTCTCAGTGGCCTGATAACTGTATAAGGGGGTCCCTGGCAGTTGGGCTAGAACTTAAATTTAAAAAGTGACATTTTTATTATCTTGTTCTGTTAACTCTCTTTGCTTGCCTTCCAACAGCTGGACAAAAAAGCAACACTTAATAAAAACGTGGCCATCCTTCAGCTCCCAAAAGTAGGCAGTGATGTGAAACCAGGAACTGCGTGTCGAGTTGCAGGGTGGGGAAAGTTTCACAATAATTCCCCTCTGTCCGATATTTTGAGAGAAGTCAATGTCACTATCATAGACAGAAAAATCTGCAATGATCAGTCACACTATAATTATAAACCTGTGATTGGACTGAATATGATTTGTGCTGGAAGCCTCCAAGGTGGAAAAGACTCCTGCGAGGTAAGTAAAACAAGATCCCAAACTTGAGCTGTTGGGTTAAGTCATACAGATATAGTGGACGTAATGTCATGATTTGCATTGGCTTTTACAGGGTCCTAGTGCTTTTTAAAAGAAGTCTGATAAAACTCCAGTCAAATAAATTAATGTTCTCAGCTCAGATGAGTTGTTCATCAAAAATAACATGTTCACTGCTAGTGTCTGGGTTGAACTACTGCATATTCTTGATTTTATATCAAAAACCACTAAGAAGCAATTTTTTCTCATTTTTCATATTAACATATATAGATCTAAACTGAAAAAAGATATGTTAACACTCAGGACAGCTGAAGTCAGGGTTCATCTAGGGCCTTCAGTACCTTTGCCCATCTGAGCACTCCCTAATAATCCCTCTGCCATTTAGCCAGGTAAGTCTGAAATACCTGCATTTCCAAGACTGACTGAAGATCTTGGAGTAAACTGCATAGCCTCCTAGAGCCAAGCTCGACCTTTGGAAACAACTTCCAAGCACTCCATACCAGAGAGCATGCAAGCCTCCCTCTCAGCGTGCCCTGAGAAGGGCTGGGACAGGTCCCTGCTTAAAGATAGGAGCAGAAGAACACTTGACTCCGGTTTCAGCACTGAGCACTGGTCTGTCCCTTCTCACCTCACCGGGGTGGAACTGTGCTCTCAGAACCTTTCATTTGCAGAACTCCATGTACAAGCCTCAGTGACTCTCCATCCAGCAATACCTGTCATACCTAAAGCCATAGCAGGAAAACAGCCAACTGGGTCTCTAGACTTTAAATATCTTTAAATGTGCTGATCTAGAGTTCCTTGGGGCTTCCTTTGTGGCTCAGCTGGTGTAGAATCCGCCTGCAATGCGGGAGACCTGAGTTTGATCCCCGGGTTGGGAAACTCCCCTGGAGAAGGGAAAGGCTACCCACTCCAGTATTCTGACCTAGAGAATTCCATAGACTGTATAGTCCATGGGGTCGCAAAGAGTTCCTTGAGAGAATGCAAGGTCACATACTGGGTACTGCAGTCACAAGAATAAAGCATGACTTACAGCTGACTGAAGCCTCCCACCTGGTGGAACCAGGCAGCTCTGAAGTGTAATCACTGACTTCCAGGAGCATCCATCTAGCATCAGATGCTCAAGAGACTTGGGAGGAAGAGCAAAGAATAGTGCAAATTCCACAAGAAGAGTACTTTTCGTCTATTTTGTTCACTGATCTTGTCCTAGTGTCTAGAAGACTACATGGCACCTGGTAGGTGCTCCATGAATATTGACTAAATGAACAATGTTTGCTAGAGAAGAATGGCGTTTGTGAGAGTTTGAAGGAACTGACCTCCAAGGTCTAATTTTAATGTTCACTGAGCCTATGATAAGGTGATAGACCCAAGCTTTATCATGTAATTTTCTCTTCAATGGTTACTGCATTGATGAAGTTTGAGTCTCATTTGATTTGAGTCTTTCACATTCCATATGCTCTTAAGAGATATTATTGTATAACTTATTTCATTAAATGTTTCTTTCTCATTTAAAAAAGAGATTCAAGGAGCAATTTCTGTTTGAGAAGATGAAGAACAAGTTGCTTTGGTTTTGTTCCTTTGAGAAAACAATTAACTCCCAGAAGAACTAGAAAACATAGCTTTTATTCTTCGCCTCAATGGCCCATCTGCATTTAACTATTTTATGCCTTGAGTTACTCAGCATTTTGAGAAAATGACAAAAAAGGAGTTTCTAAAGCAGAGAGTCTGTCTCAAAATCACTGGGTTCCACAAATTAATAATTCAAGTTTCATTTCAATTTTCACTGCTTTGTAAACAAATAGAGAAAAAAATTGACTATATCATTGAATATTCCTCAACATTTTGGTTTTTCAAGCATTCATCATCAAGTGAGTCCAGGTTGGTCTTAACTTCACATTAAATGCTTCACACTGAATGGCATTTCTTCCAGGCTGCTAGTGGTCATACTTGATGCTGATCCCCACCATTCCTCTTGTTTTCCCCAAGGGAGATTCTGGAAGCCCTCTGATATGTGAAGGCACTTTCAGAGGCATCACTGCCTTCGGCATGCAGGGGAAATGCGGAGACCCTCGAGGGCCCGGCGTCTATATCCTTCTCTCAAAGAAACACCTCAACTGGATAGTTAAGACTATGAAGCAAGCGGTTTAGATACTTGTACTTCATTTGCTGTCACTTTAAAAAAAATGTTATTGAAGTATAGTTGATTTACAATGTTGTATTAGTTTCAGGTGTACAGCAAAGGGAATCAGAGTTACACATATATCCACTCTTTTTTTAAGATTCTTTTCCTATATAGGCCATTACAGGGTATTAAATAAGAGTTCCCTGTGCTACATAGCAAGTTCTTATTAGTTACCTATTTTAAATAAATTGATAGTAGTGTGTATATGTCAGTACCAATCTCTCAATATATCACTCCCCCCATCCCTGATAACCTTAAGTTTGTTTTCTACATCTGTGACTGTACTTTTGTTTCATCGATAAGTTCATTTTACCCTTTTTTTTCAATTCCACATACATGTGATATCATATGATATTTGACCTTCTGTGTCTGACTTACTTCACTCAGTATGACAATCTCTAGGTCCATCCATATTGCTGCAAATGACATTACTTTGCTCTTTTTCATGGCTGAGTAATATTCCATTGTGTATATGTACCACATCTTTATTATCCATTCCTCCGATTGACATTTAGGTTGCTTCCATGTCCTGGTTATTTTTAAGTGGTGTTGCAGTGAACATTGGGATGCATCTATCTTTTTGAATTACGGTTTTCTTCAGATATATACCCAGTGCTGTCATTTCTTAATTTCATCATAAATAAAATCAACTTCTATCACTGCACTTGTCTCCTATAACTTATAGCAGGCAGATATCCACCACCAAAGTGGAACAGAGTAATATAGAGACCTTGTGGATAATGCAAGGGACAGATCAAGGGACCAGGGTCACCTGTGTCATCCATGTGATAAGTGACATGCAAATTTGACTTGAATTATTCACTTAACTGATTAAATGGGCCAGGCCTAGCAGGAGGAACACTAAGGTCAGTCTGCCTAGTAACAAGTACAGTCAAGGGCCCAGCAATTCTGCAAGAAACAGAAGCAGCCAGTCTGAAGCATTTGGATTAAAAGGAAATATTTTCCCTTCACAGGCCACTGTTCCACATCAACACCTGCTACTCAGATTTATATACAAGAATCTGAGTCCATTGGGAGAAGCAGAAACAGGATATGCCTTAGAGTATTTTTCAAAGCAGGCAAGAAATGGAAATTAAAATTCTAGGGGATATTAACAAGGCACTTAGCTAGAGAAAGTCAACCTCCTTTCTCGGTAGTGCGAATTTAAGCCTTGGGTTACTAGGTGATTTCTTGGTTCTCCTTGTCCTTGAGCCTGGGTAGGTACAATCAACATGGTTACGGTGGCTGCCATCTCATACTAGGGAGTGAGTTTTGAATCATGGTCTGAAAGTTTCCTATGGGAGAAAAACCAAGATGTTCATTCAGCATGCTGAACATAGTGGATAGTCATCAGTCCAGTAGCCGCATCAAGATGAGATTATATGAACAGATTCCTTCGATTTCCATCAGTTCATTTTGGACTATAAATCTTATGTGTGTATATGTATGTATATAAAGATATACATATATACACATGGTATGTCCAAACTAAGAACACACAGCAACACTAAGAGACAGCTTCTTAAAACAAATGAAGGGATATAGCTTATAGACTGACCAAAATACTGGTCCACTGGTTTTCAACCATGGCAGCCCATTAGACTTACCAGGCTCTTTAAAATTCCCAATGTCTATGCCTCACTTTTAGAAATTTTTATTTAATTTGATGAGAACCAGGACAGAGTGTTCTTTTTATAAGTTTCCCCAATGATTTTAATATGCAGCTGGTGATAAGAACCCTTATATTAGAAAGTGACATCTCATGCTGATATCTAAAAGAGATAAGAGAGTCACTAGGATATTTTAGATGCCTGCTATAATCCATAATTAGGATTTTAATAGCAATAAGAAGATGAAATATTCTCTACTGGCAACATTTATTACAGATTTTGAAGTTCACTTAAAAATAGTTGTGTGAAACTCTTGTTCATTGCTGGTGGAAATGTAAATTGGTAGAGTTTCTTAGGAAAAGTGACAGTGTCTATTAAAACTGAAGACACACATATGCTATGACTTAACAATTCTTACTCTTGGGTATAGACCAAACAGAAATGAGGGCTTTTCCCCACCAAATATGTGTTTGAGAATGTCCATAGAAACTTTATTATTGAAAGTTAAAATTAAAAATAAATGTCCATCTATAATAAAACAGAAAAACAATTGTTGTATATACAATGGGATATTACACAGCAATTAAAAAGACCAAACTACAGTTACATGCAGCAACAGTAACTACTTCTACAAGTTTAATGTTGAGTAAAAGAAACCAGACTTCACATAAAAGAATACTTACTGTATTATTGCATTTATCTGAAGATTGGCAGAAGGCAAAATTAATTCATGGTGACCAAGGTCGGAATAATGGAGGGGTGTTGATTAAGTGACACAAAGAATCTTCTGGTGTAAAAGAAATGTTCACATCTTGATCTAGATGATTTACTCATAGATCTTGATCTTAATCTATTCATAAATTAAATACGTTAAGCTATACACTTAAGATTTATATGCTTTATGTGAATTATTACTCAATAAAAATTTTATACTACACAATTTTTGTAGCTAAGTCTTCTGTTTTGTGTATTGACTGAGTTCATTTTTTTCTTTACTGAAACCATATTCCAGATGTCCATAAAACTAACAGCAGTAAAAGATATATTGCTGTTTTTCTTAAATGAGAACCTTGTTCACATACCAGTATTAATTGAGAGAAGCAATCTTTGGTCCTTTGGTCATGTCATAGTCTCATGAGATTTTTAAGAAAAATGTAACCATATCAGAATGGCGGAGGACACTGCAAATGGTCTCACCATTTTGCTCCTTTCCCTGCTAAACTTTTTCTATAGTTTATACTTGGCTAAATAAGATCAAATGACAGCCATTATCTTAAAAAAGAGTGTGCATTACAGGGATGTATCTTATTTGCACTTTTGGTGACCTAAAATTTTGTAAGGTAAAAATTACTAGCACTACCAAGCATATTTTCTGAGTTTAAAAACAGGGGAAAAGAACAGAATACATTGTTAATTTGTCAGGAGAGTCCTAACACTCCTTGTATTTATTATTCCACTTTTCAATTATCAAGGCATTTATTTGGTATTATTTTTTTGAAGAGAGATATTAAAGGAGTATGTGTGTATTGGTAAAAGCCATTTATGACAAAGTAAAGAAATTAATCAATGTATATTAGTTGACACATGCAAAACATTCCAGAGGGCACTAAAAAAATATAACATATGCCCCCTCAACCCCTCAATATAATTTTGTGAAAGAAATAAGCATGCTAAAGTTTAAATAAACAAAGATTCCCATACTAATAGAAGATTTTTTAAAATAACTAGAATAGTTATATTAACACAAAGTAGGTGACACAGGCTGATACCAAGAGTTCAAAGCCAGGTAACATTATTTCAAAACAGAGGACAGGACTTATGGGAAGGTACAGAGCAAAGAATTGAGGAGCAGGAATTCCAGATTAGAAGATGAGAGCTCCAACAAAGGCATAAGGCAGGAAATCACAGAACAGCCCAGCGATAACACAGGAGGTGAGTGAGGATTAATGTTAAAAAGAACAGTGACCTTATGGAGCTTGAAGAAACCTTAGCAGTTATCAAATCCAAAGCCCTATTTGCAAATGTTGTGGCATACCCAAGGTCACTCAGTAAGTTTACGACAGAGCCTAGTTAAGTATAGGTCCCCTAACTTCAGATTCTGGGCTCAGGACTCCGAGGTTGAGGTCAAAGGGGGTTAGATAATGGGGAGTCACTGAGAGTTTATGAGCAGGGGGCTGGGGAGGATCAGCATACTGCTTTTAGAAATTAAACCTAATAGTAATGTGGAAACCCATTAAGAATAAAGACAGAAAACCAGACAGAAGGCTGCTGCTGCTGCTAAGTCGCTTTAGTCGTGTCCGACTCTGTGCGACCCCACAGACGGCAGCCCACCAGGCTCCCCCATCCCTGGGATTCTCCAGGCAAGAACACTGGAGTGGATTGCCATTTCCTTCTCCAATGCATGAAAGGGAAAAGTAAAAGTGAAGCCGCTCAGTCGTGTCCAACTCCTAGCGATCCCATGGACTGCAGCCTATCAGGCTCCTCCATCCATGGGATTCTCCAGGCAAGAGTACTGGAGTGGGTTGCCATTGCTTTCTCCAGGTAGTCATCCCTGGGATTCTCCAGGCAAGAACACTGGAGTGGATTGCCATTTCCTTCTCCAATGCATGAAAGTGAAAAGTGAAAGTGAAGCCGCTCAGTCGTGTCCAACTCCTAGCGACCCCATGGACTGCAGATATCAGGCTCCTCCATCCATGGGATTCTCCAGGCAAGAGTACTGGAGTGGGTTGCCATTGCTTTCTCCAGGTAGAAGGCAATTGCCACAAATTTGTCATCAGGTGTGTAGGACATTACTAGGGTGAAACAAAAGATAGAGAACAAGGGGTAAACTGAATAACCAGGAGGCTCCCTGAGTGATGAGATGACCAGGGTAAGATGAGATCATTAAGACAGAAAAGGGAGTTCCAAGTAAGTCTTTGTCTGAGAGGAAATGATCCATATGCTTAATCAATATTAAAGTTAGTCACTCAGTCATGTCCGACTCTTTGTGACCCCACGGACTATAGCCCACCAGGCTTCTCTGTCCATGGGATTCTCCAGGCAAGAATACTGGAGTGAGTTGCCATTTCCTTCTCCAGGAGATCTTCCCACCTCAGGTAGCGAACCCAGGTCTCCCACACTGCAGGCAGACTCTCTATTGACTGAGCCACCAGGGAAGTCCTATGCTTAACACAGAGGAGCACTTTAATCAATATTTAAACAAGTAAGTTGTGCTTATTCAAGTGAATAAGTTGTGTTTTTAATGTACTGAGTTTGAGCTAAAGACAGAAAAGGATCTTAATGAAGAAATAACCAAGGGACTTCCCTGGTGGTCCAGTGGTTACGACTTTAAGTTTCCACTGCAGGGGCATGGGTTTGATCCCTGGTCAGGGAACTAAGACCCGTGCATGCCGTACCACATAGCCAAAATAGAAATATATATATATAATACATATAATATATTATATATATATATATATTCAGAGACCCAAGGATAAGGCTGGAGCTTGGGAGAAAAGTGAAGTGGGAAAGACGAGCTTAGAAATAGTTGCGGTAGATATTCTTGTGACTATAGCAGTGAAAATGCATCTCTAACAAGGAGGAGACAGAGAGAGAAGAAGAAAAGGGGAGGAGGAGGAAAGCAGAAAGAGAAGCAGAGAATGAGAGACAATGTCTGGAAGTTGTGGTGGGAAGAAACAGAGCCAGTAAAGTAACCTGAGAAAAGGTCAGGGAACAGGCATTCACCTCAGGAAAAGTACCATCTTGTTTGAGCCTCATGATAATGCCATGGAGAAGGCAAGGCCAGTATCATTATTCTCATGTCAAAATGAGGAAGCTGAAGCTGGGAGGGGCTGAGTGACTAGCAGCAATTCCATATGCAGGCTGTGCCATCCGCTGCAGCAGAAAAGACGCGGGTCTGGTCTGGACTCAAAGCCAGGTGTAGCACTCGGCCTCGGTGGTCTGTGGGAAGGTAGACAAGACAGCTCATGTTCCACGTGTCAAGGGCTGTTGCCTAGGACTGGGAAGCAACCTAAGCTGGGGACCATGAATCCCATCCCAGGATAAAGGGCTTCTCCAAACACCTGCCACATTCAGGGCTGGTGCTCCCACTGTACCTTTGCCAAGAAAACACAGTCAGTGTGGGCTCTGGGGGACACCCTGAAGTGGCCAAGGTTCTGCTTCACCATTCCCCTTCAGGGTGTTTTCCCCTTGTATTAGATCCCCAGGGCTGCTGTAATAAATTACCACAAGCTACATGGCTTAAGACAACAGAATTATATTCTCTCACAGGCCAGAAGTCCCAAATCAAGGGGTTGGCAGGGCTGGCTTCCTCTGGAGACTCCATTCCCTGCCTCTTCTAGTTCTGGCAGCTGTTGACCATCCCAGAATGGTGGCCACATCACTCCAGTCTCTGCTTCCATGGTCAAGTTGCCTCCACATCTGTGTGTCTGTTCTCCTCTGTGTGCCTCTTATAAGACACTTTCTGTTACATTTAGTGCCCATTTGGACAATCCAGAATGATCTAATCTCAAAATCCTCAACTTAATTACACCTGCAAAGACCCTTTCACCAAATAAAGTCACATTCCCAGGTTCCAGGGACTTTGACTTGGATAGCTCTGAGAGGACCAGCTTTTAGTTCCCCACAACCTCATGCCTTCTACCATTATTAGTTCTATATTCTCTATTCCACCAACACCCAGGAATTCCCATGGCCATGTTCCTACCACACACCCCATTCCTCCTCTTATCTTCCCCTGAAAGTAATCCCTTGAGAATCTTGGTTTCAAGAAGCTAATCAAATAAACTCATGCCGCTTAAGGGAAAAGGACACAAAAATCTATCCAACAAAGTAAACATGAGCCTTTTGTGTGAAATTCTGAGGACAATACCCCTCTTTCTGTTATCCAACTGGCCATTTCTCAAAGAACATTCTATGGGACAATAGTTTTATATGAGGTTGTTAGGTATTTAGAGATGAAAAGAGTCTTTAATGATCATGTTAATTTGGAAGCTCCAAGTTAGGGAAATTAAACAGGATTCCTTATTTCAAAACTGCCATATGCATTATAGGGCTTCCCTAGTGGCTCAGTAGGTAAAGAATCTATCTGTAATGCAAGAGACCCAGGTTTGATCCCTGGGTCAGGAAGATCCCCTGGAGGAAGAACTGGCAAAACACTCCAGTATTCTTGCCTGGAGAATTTCATAGACAGAGGAGCCTGGTGAGTTACAGTTCATGGGGTCACAAAGAATTGGACACAACTGAGAGACTAACACTTTCATATGCATTATTAATATTTGGGAGAAGAGCTTATAATAGGCAGCATTTCTGAAACTTACTTGGTCCTTTTGACTTGAGCATCTTAAAGGACTAATGTTCCTCAGAAAATATTTTGCAAAACCTATCCTAATCCAACAATGACTTTCATGATCAAAACTTTACACTGAAATAGACAAAGCTGACTCCATGAAAGAAAGCTGGGCCTAGGACAAAGGAGGAAAGACGGAGGGGGATATGTTTCTGACTGGGTAGGTATTCGGGGGCACAAATAAAATCAAATGAGATGAGTGGTCACCCCCTCATAGAGCAGTACAGCTTACAACTCAATTGAAGCTGGAATTTTAGAAATAATCTTGTTCTCTGACACAAGATTCTCAACAGCAAAGAGTGTAGCTACACTATTTCACTCCTAAAGGAGACATTTCTTAGATACTTAGAGCTTTTTCCACCTACACATAGAACTCCCAGTGCTCTCCTTCATGCATACACAGATACACACAATATGCACAGAGAAATGCCCCCAAGGACACATGGGATTGGCCCTAGGCATGTTGGTGCATAAAAAATGTTTAAATTCATTGACATAATGCCATCCTTTTAATTTAGAGTTGAAGAAAAACTTTAAGAATATCAAACACTTTGTTCAAGGTCACACAGCTGGTTAATGACAGAGCCGGAACTAGAATCCAGTTCAAAGCTTTAACTGTTTACCATGCTCCAAACCCAGCATAAAGAAGAGTTTCTTTTTCTATTAAAGGCCAGTATCCATTATTATGCTGGGAAAGATTGAAGGCAAAAGAAGAAGGGGTGGCAGAGGATGAGATAGTTAGATATCTTCATCATCTCAATGGACATGAATCTGCACAAACTCTGGGAGATAGTAAAAGACAGAGGAACCTGGCATGCTGCAGCCCATGGGACCACAAAGAGTCAGATAGGACTGAGTACTCAAACACACACACACACAAGACATATAAATGAAAAGAAACTTAATTTAGTTAGGAAATCTGGAAAACTCAGCAGTGGCCACAGGACTTACATCATGGGAAATAGATGGGGAAACAGTGGAAACAGTGGTTGATTTTATTTTTCTGGGCTCCAAAATCACTGCGGATGGTGATTGCAGCCATGAAATTAAAAGATGCTTACTCCTTGGAAGGAAAGTTATGACCAACCTAGACAGCATATTAAAAAGAGAGACATTCCTTTGCCAACAAAGGTCCATCTAGTCAAAGCTATGGTTTTTCCAGTAGTCATGTATGGATGTGAGAGCTGAACTATAAAGAAAGCTGAGCACAGAAGAATTGATGCTTTTGAACTGTGGTGTAGGAGAAGACTCTTGAGAGTCCCTTGGACTGCAAGGAGATCCAACCAGTCCATCCTAAAGGAGATTAATCCTGCGTGTTCATTGGAGGGACTGATGTTGAAGCTGAAACTCCAATACTTTGGCTACCTGATGTGGAGAGCTGACTCATTTGAAAAGACCATGATGCTGGGAAAGATTGAAGGCAGGAGGAGAAGGGGACAATGGAGGATGAGGTGGTTGGGTGGCATCACTGACACAATGGGCATGGGTTTGGGTGGACTCTGGGAGTTGGTGATGAACAGGGAGGCCTGGCGTGCTGTGATTCATGGGGTCACAAAGAGTCAGACACGACTCGGTGACTAAACTGAACTGATACCAATGCTTTAAAATTAAACCTAAAAAGAAAATTCTATTCAACAAATATAATCAGTGATAAATACTCATGCATTCTTTATTATGTGCATTAAGATGAAAAGGAAGGAGGGAGAGAAAGTAGAAAAAGGAGTAACAGGGGGAAAGTCCCAAATCTTTTATAGAACAGACTTTGAAAAATATCTTCATTTAAAAGATGGACAGCTACTTCCAGAACTTGTTAGGAAAATGGTCTTTGGATGGAAACAAAAGCATTCTTGAAATACTTCTTTCTCATTCATGACAATCTTAGTTTACAGGATAGAAGGAAATGCCACCTATTTCAGATGAAGTTCTTCTTTAGAATCTACATCCCCACGTTCCAAGAGTACTGTCACTGGAAGCATTGACAGGTTGGTTTCCTTTATGCAGCAACAGCCATAAATGAGGCCATGTACTGACGCATGTGTGATGGACTGATGGAACCTAATCAAAGGCCAGGTCTCACTTATAAGCTAGAAAGTCACCTACCACTGTTTCAAAGCTTAGAAATTACAGCCTTGGCGGTTGGGGGG